CTATACAGGACACTATTTACAGATGAAGCCCAATTTACCAGAGACGGGATAAATAATTCACGAACTTCACATGTGTGGGCAGAAGAAAATCCCCATGCTATTCGAGAACGTCGTTCTCAGTTAAGGTTTTCGGTTAACGTGTGGATTGGTGTCATAAATAACCAATTAGTAGGTCTTCACTTTTTTGATGGTCCTTTAACAGGGCAGGTCTATTTGAACTTTCTACAAAATATTTTGCCGACTTTGCTTGCCAACGCGAACGTTGCTATCCGAGGGATGTATTTTCAGCATGATGGGGCACCCCCACACTTTTTACTGGCAGTGAGACAACATCTCAATAATGTTTATGGCAACAGGTGGATAGGACGTGCAGGTCCTATTTCGTGGCATTCAAGATCCCCTGATTTCAATCCCCTTGGTTACCATATTTGGGGATGATTGAAGCAACTAGTTTACGCAGTGAATATTAATAACCGACAACAATTAATTGATAGAATTATACATTGTTGTAATATTATTAGAAACGATCCCCAGAGTATCCGTAATTCAATACGTCAATTAACCATTCGGCAACAAAAATGTGTACAGGCTGCAGGGTTTCATTTCGAAAATCTATTTTGAATTATTTTTATTTTGTTACCATTATTGTATCTTTTCCAGTTCTAATTTATGGGTTTATCATAACTATGTACATATTTTTAGTTTTTTTTTTAAATTGTTCTTCATTATTGTTAGTAGTTACTGTTTTTTGTTGTGCAGTGACTCAGTTTATCATTTCAATTAAAATGTTTGAAATTTATAACATTTGTTTAAATTAATTACCTTATAATTTGATACTTCATTATGGTTGTTCTATTTTTGGTAAGATTTGATCATTCACTAAAAATTTAATAAAAGTGCGACAACATTGTCGCATATCTCGTTTTCTTTTCCTATTTATGTAGTTTGAAAATCACTTATTGCATTTTAAAAAGGGTGTAAACAGGGTGTAATATTTAATACGAATCCCTAAATTAATTTTTCCAAAGCCAGTCCTGGAATTTTTTAGTTTAGCTAATACCAGTCGAATGCTTGATAGTAGTGTACTGTATCATGCAAAAATTAAAAAAATCAAATGAGCCGTAAAATCAAATGAGCCGTTACTACAGTAAAATGAAATAAATGGTCAATTACACAAATCACCCTGTTAATTAATAAAGAAGAGGAGTTAACATTTTTTAGTGGCCACATGATATGCTCCCTGAGGGACTCTACATATGGTAGAAGTATGTAAAGTTCCTCATGACTCACCCTTTATAATTTTTTTCTGTCATTTTGCCATTATTTTTCAGTTTGCTATAAAAATAACCCATACTACTACACATTGGGACACTGGTTTTTATTATATGTAGTTTATTTAATATAAGTTTTATTAAACACGATTTTCAGACTGGAAGTCAAAATGTCAAAAATATATAAATCTAATTACATTCATTGTGGTTTATTACCAGAAAAATATAAATGATTTAGCGTGAAACCTGTCACAATAAAAAATGTTCATAACCATAACTATTTTAAATACCCATTAAAAGATCTGGGGTGTAGAGAAAAAAAATTTTTTACGGAATTAAAAAAGTCTAATTCTCCACCTTTTTTGATCTGTGTTATCTGAATACATTATTTATGACTGAAAGGAATTCCCCAGATTAACTACCACTGGACGTTTTATATAATTCTTGATTTAGTGTTTATTAAAAACGCATTTACGATAAAGGTCAACCTCATTATGATTTCCATCAATGTGATTTCGTATTTATAGAAATATGATTCATTTTTGTTATTCATACCTACAGATTAAATTTTATAACTAAAATTTCGTATTTAAAAAATACCTACCTAGTATTTTAGTTATTTTGTCCGTTTTAAAATAAGTAATTTATCTATTTAAATTAAAATATAAACACTGAAAATTATTAATTTCTAACGTTTCACGAGACTTCAAAATTAACCTTACAAGAGCTACAAAAATTATTCTACAATTATTGGACCAAAAAGAAACGTTTATTTTTCAATATATTCTCAGCTCGATCAGCAACAAATATACTCAAACTGATCATACTCAAAGTAGCAAAAGCTGCAGTTTCAAAGGTACCGTCGAACGGGGTAAAACCGACCAAAATTTGAGGTTTTTTAATGTTTTCATGATTATTTTTGAATTGAAAAAGCTGCAAATTATATTACATATATACATGATATAAGTATCATATCTGAAGTGCCAATTAGTGGTTTTTCTTTTGAAATAATTCTAATAGTTTTTTCTCATATATTTTCAAAAGATGATCGGTTTTACCCCATAGGTTGGGGTAAAACCCATCACTCAAAAAAAAATGTTTAAACTATTTTTTATGCAATAAATTGTAAAAATCAACACAAGATTTGTTTACTAAAGAACTTTATTTTAAAAATAAATACAAATTTGAGTATAAAACATTGAAAAAACTTAAAACATAAAAGAAAACACTTATTTCTAAAAAAAAAACAAAAGGAAGACGTTGGTTCTTTGGTGATACATTGGTAATTTGGTACTTTATAACTTATTCTAAGGTAAGGTTGGAAGTCCCCCTGAAAGTAAATGTTCCTTGTAGTCTTTGTATAATCTGTTCTTTTTGAACTATGGCGATATCCTCGATTTCTGGATAAGCCAAGCAAATTTGTTTTTTTTACGACTTTTTCCTCAAGCATTGAAGTGTGACCTCCTCATCAGAAACATCTGTAATTTTAGCAGCAAAAAATCGATCTCTTTTGTTCGTAACAAATTTAACGACAACAAATTCTCCAAGCTGAAATTGTGTATCATCAGAAACCTGGGGTGTGTCCTCTGAAATTTCCTCGTCATTTTCCAACTCTGAAAAACTTAGATCGTGTACTTCTAACCCTTGCTCACTTTCAGAACCTTCACTTTCTTGTACAAGGTCTTTCTTAGAAATACTTTCTCCTGCTGCCACCTTCATCCTTTTACGTCTATTTGAATTTTCACTTGAACCTGTTCTTAGTTCTCTCAAATGATCGACAATGGTATTCGTCCATATTTGCTCGACTCTAGTCTCTTTCTGTTCGCTATTTTCGTTCTCTCCTTTTTTCAAATGTTGTATTTTTTTGAACACTTGATCTGGATTTAAAGGTACTATGCAACAAGCTATAAAGCCTGCTTGGGTGTTTGAGGTTGATTTCAGACCCACTTTTTCTATTGTTTCTTTTAACAGTCTTGGAAAAACAGTTTCGGGCAGGACACCCCTGTTTTTGATTTTCCAAATTGTGAGCACTTTCCTCCAAGCATTCTTTAAAGGTCGAAAGGTTGTCGTCAAGTGGTTGTAATAAATCTGTGGAGTTTAAACTTTATACCATTATTTTCACATTGCTCGATAACATTGACTGTAAGATGACTGAATAAATTATCCCTTATCATTACTTTAGGGCCTTCTAAGTTTCTGAAGTAGGGCAATGCTATCGATAGAAACCAGTCTTCAAAAGTTGTTGTGTCAAACCAACCATTGATCGTTCTATTATATCGCGCACCAGGAAAGCCTCCATCGACCCATCCTTCATACATATGCTTTGCCTTGTACACTATATAAGGTGGCAACAGTGTTTCATCACCAGCAACTGAACATAACGCTAGTGCTCGTTTTCGACGTGTCCATCACTCGATGAGCGTGTTTTGATCCTTTTCTGACCACGACTTTTACAGCTCCTGGATCGTCCGTGAAGTTGGTTTCGTCATAGTTTATCACATTTGACGGTGCGGCCCCTTTCAAAGACTCTCCAAGATAACGAAAATACTCTTCAACTGTTTCATAAGTGACTGCAGCCCTTACCCTTTTTGTATTCTCTGCCAATTTTACGGTTAGATCCTTATGTCGGTCCATAAATTTGAAGAACCAATCTGGTCCTGGTAAATTGTCTCTGAACCTGTTTTCTCTTCTTCCTGCTCTGTTAAGAAACAGCTTAACCATATATCAAATTTCAATACTGTGTAGAGGATATCCCCAATCCGCGCTCACTAGTAGACAGTCAATCAGCTTTTTTTCTTCCAGTTCAGAAAGAACTGGTGGCGCTCCAATCTTGACATGTTGCCTCTTTTTTTGAATTTTTTCTTGTAAGGTGGTATAAGGTACTCCATAATTCTCAGAGGCCTTTCTTATAAACATACTCCCACTAGCAACAGTTTTCAATGCTCGTTCCATATAAATTTCATTGTACTGTAATTTTCTTGTTGGCCTTAACTTCTTCTTATAAGTGCGAGTCATTGTCTGTAAACAAAAAAAAATATGTTAAAATCTTACACCAATTTGAAGAGGAGCTAGGTGATCACCAAACCACCGCCACACTCTATGCTGCCCATAACGTTCATATCCTTAAGAATTAGATAGGTACCATCTATAAAATAACTAGGGAATTGTTGGTCGGTTTTACCCCACAAATTTCAGATTTTACAGAAAAAAATATATCAAAATTAACCCAAAAAGAACAGTCGCATAATTGGCCATGACTAATACTCTCTAAGAATTCCACAACAAAATAATACTTACCAGAAATGTTCTGTAGTAATAATTTTTTCTGTAGACGGAAATCTTTCAAAGTTTTGTAAAAATTCCCGAATACGACGTTTTGTTTACTAGTACTAGTGTACACTGCAGCCACGCGACACTTTCAACCTGTTACTTTGAGCTCACTATGGCGACTGGCATAATGCATATCCTCGGATAGGTAGGAACGCTTGTTTGGCGGTAAATTCACATATACTATTAATCCTGAAAATATTAGGCAAAAAACCCTTAGCGATCGGTTTAACCCCATGTGATTGGTTTTACCCCGTTCGACGGTATCGATTGCCTCTCAGACAAAAATCTCGTACACCGACAAATTTTTTTAGGTTTAGAATAATAACCGACAGCCAAATATGCAAAATAAATAGCCTCACAGCTTCACATACCTATCAATGGACTTTGTTATATTTTCAGATACTTTTTCTACAATTTCACCAGCAATGATACGTTGCTGAGCAAAGGAGACTCCAATTATGAAACCGTGATTCTAGAAGTGACCTCGGACGACGACATTTGCATGACTGTCAGTATACAAAACATTAGTGTAAGTATGAAACCATTTTGTAATATTTGCCCATTTTCATTTCCCGGCACCGTCATATAATTAAAAAACGCGTATCGCAATCAAAGATTTTCTTATTATGTATATATATATATATATATATATATATATATATATATATATATATATATACATATAGGTTATTCCACGAATATACGACTGTTTTGGTTTACTGCGACAACGAATATTTTACTGTGCAAGTAGAAGTATGAAGGTCAATTGGTCTAATCATTATTCCAATAAAATGGGTCTACTAGTATGACATCTAAACTAAAATTATTTCAGTTACAATCTACAAATAAATACAATGCCGTCTATGAAGCCAAATGTGTTCTTTAGACATTTGGGTAAGCTTTCCGTGAAATGTAAACACCAAATAGGCGTGCCGGGTTTCTTTAATATAACAGATTTTATTGCTTTATGAGGTATTACAACTGTAATAAAAAGAAATATACTATTTTTAATATAAATTAAAAGAAATTGGCAGAACGATGGTTCACAAACCAGAAAAAGGATCTAATATTTCACTTTGTTAGTTTTAAATATTTGTTTGCTTTGAGTTTATGTTCTCTTAAAAGTTCCGAAAGTAACGGGTATAACATACCGGCTCTTGATAGTTAAAGTACCGAGTCATTATAGATATTAAAAAGTAACGAAAATTTATATACAGTTTCATATATCGCCGACTGATTATGGCTGTGAATCTGATCGTTGATGATAGTTTTAGAAGATTAAGAGAATAAGTGAATAAGTAAGTTTTTTTGTTTTTTTTTAATACTTATTGAATATTCGACTAAAAAATTTACACTATTTGATCACTTAAGTATTGTTACGTTTCGTTTAAATCACATAATTCAAAAACCAACTTGTTTACAATGAAATAATTGAAATAAAAAAATAAACTCCATGATAGTAGACAACTGTTTTTATAAACTATTAACTTTATATTTATATCATGACTTCATATTTAAATCTAAGGCTTATATCTGTCGTAACAGTCTTTTAAAAATGGGGAGAATTTACTATTGTACAATTCAGTACATTGGACCATTTAAATCGACACCTTAAAGCGAATTTAAAACAGTCGTATATTCGTGGAATGGAGTATATATATATATATATATATATATATATATATATATATATATATATATATATATATATATATATATATATGCCGGTTTAGAACGTCCTTCTCCGTTGTCCGACATCTAACTTCCATCCTCTTCTTCGTGGCAATCTTCCGTTGATAGATTCCGTTCGCTCATTTACGTTTTGCTGCCACTCTAGTTTGGGTCTTCCTCGCTTTCTATTCCCTATTGGGGTCCAGTTCAGTATTTTTTGGGCCATTTAGTATTTTGCATTCGCTCTACGTGTCCGTACCAGGTAAGTTGTTTCTTTTCGATATCCTGAATTATCGTACCTTCTATTCCCATTCGTTATTTTATATGGTCATTCCTCATTCTTTCTCTTCGTGAGACTCGCATAGATCTTCTTATCGCGTCCATTTCGACTGCCTCTACCTTCTTTTTTTGTCTGTCTGGAATTCTCCATGTTTCCGCTCCATACAATAGGCTGGTCTTAACCATTGTTTTGTATATATTAAATTTTCTCCTTTTTGTTATCTCCTTGCTCCACAAGATGCCATTCAGACATCCTATTATCTTTTTAGCTGTAATTGTCTCTTATTGTCGAATGTGATACCTAAATACCATAGATATTTCGTTTTATTTACGTTAACTGTCAAGCCCCATTCCTCATACTCTTCTATCAGCTTTCTAATCATATATTGCATGTCGTCTTTGTCATTGGCTACCATGACCTGATCATCTGCAAATTGAAGAGTAAACAGATATCTGTCATCTATCTCTATATCCATTCCGTGTATTTTCCTTTTCCAGTTCTTAAGTGCCGCTGCTACATATAAATTCTTGTTAATTTTCATACAGTTCTTTAAGTGCAGCTATATAGTTGTGATTGATGTTCGTTTGTTCTAATACCTTCCACAGTCTCGATACTGGGACTGTATCAAGATGGGTTTCCAGATGTCTAGCAGATTTCTTCTCTATGACTTGTTTTAGACAAAATACGTTGTCGGTACACGATCTACCTGCGCTAAAGCCGCTTTGATCTTCTTATTATGTCCAAGTGAATAATCAACTATCTGTATTGGTTGGATATTATGAAAACTACAATTGGGCAAGTGTAAACGAATCAAACTGAAATTGTTGGTTCTCAGTCCCAATCTAACAATCAAACTGTAGGTTAAATGATAGATATCCATGCAATATTACACCAAGTACAATTTCAGTGCTTTCCATTAACAACAGTTTCAAATGTTGCTAACGTAAGAGTCACTCATGTAAAGCTGGTTCCTAAAAAACTGATACGACTCTTAGTAAGATTTGATCATTTTGAGCAGTGTATTTGATCCGACATTATATGGGCGTGCATGATTTGGACGCTGGGTGTAAATGAAATGTAAATGGAAAGTCAGGTAATAAAATTCTAGAGATTAAGCTTGATAAGGTTTATTTGTCACTTTGAAATAAATACGACATACATTTTACGAAATGGAATCGATCGATACAGTTAGTTTGATACTCATGTATCCTATTTCTAACGAACATAATTTTTTTTCTACTCTTTGGATCTCTAAGTCTATTACTTTCACTATTACAGACACTATTAATTTTAATGTAAGTTTCAGTTTGAAAATTTTTTAAACCATCAATAAAATGGAAAATATTTGGATGAGCATGGTAAACATTATCATTAAAACGCGAGTGGAACGATTCACAAGCATTAGTTGTTAATTGTAAACTCTCAGTCATCGCAGCCCACATCTCTGACGGAAATGTTGCGTGGTCGCCAATGTAGTTGTTCAATAAGTAGTGGGAAAGCTTTTCAATGTTTGAATCCTTTGGTTGAATAGCCATAAAATCATATATGAAAGATTCTTCGACTTCTGAGGGAGGTAAAAATGGCAGCCCAAAAATATATTTCAGCCAGTTAGATATTTCACTGTCTGCCAATTTATATTCCCGAATTAAGCCACAACCACCGATATTACGATACCAAGCTTGCATAAGATGAAAACGGCACCCTTTAATGTGCACATTTGGAAATTCAAAACGCGCAGCATTGTGAATAGCAATTTCAAAATCGGAGAAAATGATTTTTGGATTGAATTTTAGACCAATTACTTCACATTTGCGTTTCAAAACATTAAATAGTTTTATATAGGTTTGTTCCGATTTGTCGGGAAGTAAATAATAACACTGGCCTAACATCATCAGAAACGAAGACTTACTACACCTGACCAAACAAAAGAGGGTAGTAAATGAAATAAAGTCCAGAAAGTGGGGTTGGATCGGTCACACACTCCGAAAAAATAACTCCAGTATTGCAAAGACTGCCCTAGAGTGGAATCCCCAAGGAAAACGAAAAAAAGGTCGCCCAGTACAAACTTGGAGAAGATCCATCATGGACGAGATAAGAAAACAAGGAAAGTCTTGGAATGAGGTGAAGGCCTTAGCGCAAAATAGAACCCGATGGCGCGTTTTCACTGAAGCTCTATGCTCCACTTAGGAGTTCAAGAACCTTATATATATATATATAAATAATAACACAATGGTATATAATGTCCATTGATAAATACATGTATGGTAAAAAATTGCTTGAAATATTGAGCACAGTAACTAAATGTACCGTTCATATAAATCGGTTCACTGCCGCACAGAAAACGCATGTTAGTGTTACACGAGAAGATGATAATGTTAGAACTTAGTTCAACCGCAAATATAAAATTCTCGTCTTTAAGTGTTTTGATATTCATATTATTTATTTATTTATTATATTTATTATGACAGACAAATAATAAAATAAACAAACAATTAATTACATGTTAATTTATAAATTATAATAATTATTAAGGTCTAAATTTTGATATTATTTTGAATTCCTGCATTTTATAAAGAGTATATAAATGGTAGTTTTTACATAAAACAGGGTTTTTATTATTATTAAGGAATAAAACAAACGACTTACTCAACAATATATTAAAGCAATAATTGTAACCAAATTAAAAGATAACTTGGCACTATCAGAGGCAGCAAAACATTTTAACATAAGCAGAACCACAGTTTTTCTATTAATAAAAAATTGAGCTAACAAGAAACTATCGAAAGAAAGCGAGAGTCTGGAAGCCCAAAACTATACTAAATTTAGGTATGTAAAAATAAAATTAATATTCTGTAATATCTTCATCAGCATTGATAAGAGCTTGTAGTCTTCGGTCCATCTGCGTGAAAGGAACTATGAAATTGTCATCTTCAGAGAGCTCTTCCCAAACCTGTTGTATACCGTACCACAGCTCTTCAGCATTTTGAGGTATAAAATTACGCCGATACAACTGTTTCATAATAACCCCCCACACATTCTCGATTGGGTTTAAATCTGGACTGTAGCTGGGCCATGAGAAGGTTTCGATGTTGTTATTCTGGAGCTACTGGTTTATTATATTTGCAGTGTGAACAGGACAATTATCTTGGAGGATAAAATTATTTTCTGGATACAACTGTTCTACACTGGGATACATGATGTTTTCTAGAATATTCAGATAATTTTGCCCAACAAACCTGCCATCAATACGCCATACTATTCCCATTCCTCTATATGAAATCTTGCATGAGCGGTAGATATTTTTGGTCTTTCAGAACCTTACTTTCTTTCGACAGTTTCTAGTTCTCTCTATCTTTTATTAATATTAAAAACTGTGGTTCTGCTTACGCTATAATGGTTCGCTACAGATGAATGAACTTTAACTCATAGGTGCAAATAATTATCAAAATTTAAATGGTTGCAATAAACAATCAAAAACAATTTAAAGGTTTAGGTAAAACTATGGGAAGATTTTACCGCTAATTACCATTGGATACACTACTTTACAAAACAACGAACAAAACGAATACAATATAAGGGCATCGGTCCACGGTCGTGATGCGTCTGTCACTCTTAACGACTAAAACTCTTGTGTCTTAGCGGGATGCATTCCCGAGCGGTACGAGATGGATCGGGTGAATACAGGGGAGAACAAGTGTATTGATTAATTTATACAACCATATTTGAATTTAAACAAGCTGTATATAAATGTCTAAAAATATGATTACCAAAAATGTTATTTTGAAGCTGTCGAAATTTCTTTGAAATTCATTTGAAACAATGTTAATTTTTCAGTGTCCAGTGTTTGATACAAACCAAGACGTTACTTTTCGAGGCTTTTACGAAACTGTTAATAGAAAAGGAGGGATGAATATACCGGTAAGTAATGATTAATATCTTTCTTTTTTTTTAATTGCTGATTTAAAAAATTACGCGATTTTTTATGAAATTGTTATATAAACGGTAGTCAGAAGAATACTGTCAAGATATATCTGCCACTCTAAACAATCCTAGATTGGATACTGCCTCCCAACGGACCACTTTCTCTAATTCCTAAAATTATTAGCTAGCGATCATGCCAACTTTCTAACTCAGTAAAATTTATTAATTTAGAAAGAGGTTCTAAAAAGAAAGTATAGTGTCTGTAGTTGGGACGTTTTAGTAAAGGGGCTGTGACAGTATTTCGCCATGTTAAATCCAATAAGAAATCGGTAAGGTCCATTCTGCTCGTTTTTGGCTCATTTCGTTGTGGAGGCGCGACTGCTCATTGGATCGGGACGTAAGAGGTATTGCGGCATTGCCAAAAGGACACTAAGCTTGTAACGTCTGTGCAAGGTATCGATGGAAAGGATGTACGTCTGCTATACGTCTGATGTACGTCTACGTCTGATATGCGTCTGCTATACGTCCCATATGAGTTAAAACGCGTCTACTATACGTCTGATATGCGTTAGATTACGTCAGGTATACGTCTGCTATATGTTAGATCGCGTTAGATATCTGTTAGTTGATGCATCATGTAAGCGTTGAAACTACGTTTTAAGTATATTAATATAGCGTGGTTGTCGTTTCGGCAATGTCTTTGTGTATGTTTTTATCTTAAGGTATTCAGTATCCTCTCACCTTTCGTTTGACGTATAATACGTTGCAATCGGACCAATAATAATGGAGAGACGATATAATACCGTTTTGGTGATGTCTTTGCGTTTGTTTTTTGAGTTAACGTATTGGATATCCGCTCCTCTTTCATTTAACGTGCTATACGTACTAATCTGACTAATAACAACAGAGACACATATAGTGCCGTTTTGGCAAAGTGTTTGCGTTTGTTTTTTGTCCTGACATATTTATTACCACCTCCTCTTTTCATCGATAATTTGCACATTGTTGAACGTTGAGTTGTTTAGACGTTACAAGCTTAGTGTCCTTTTGGTAATACGCCGCGATGTTTTTCTTCGGTGTCTACGTATTTTATTGGCAACTTCCCTTTCCATGGATACCTTACACGTTGTTGTACGTTGAGCCGTTTAGCCGTTACAAGCTTAGTGTCCTTTTGGCAATGCCGCCATTTTTGCTTTTGCCATTGTATTCATTACCCCCTCCCCTTTCTGATGATACCTCTTACGTCCCGATCCGACGAGCTATCGCTCCTCCACAACGAAATGAGCCAAAAACGAGCAGAATGGACCTTAGCGATTTCTTATGGGATTTAACATGGGGAAATATGCCGAACTGTCACAGCCCCATTACTCGTTTTCATTTTAAGGCCCGCCGTGTAAAAGAGATGATTCAATAGACCTCACTCGCGGATGGGAATTGGTTACGCCTTCACGAGTTAGCAACAAAAGGTTTAAAAATTGAAAACCCATGGACTCGGTAGAAGTAGAGTACAGTAGTATGTTGGGGAATTATATTTATAGAAAAAATAAAAAACAAATTTAAAAAAAGTTACAATCTGGATTATTCAAAAACTCATAGTTATAGTCATTGAATGGCTAGGTGCAAGACGAGAGCTGTAGTTAGAAAATTCTGTTCACAAATAAATTAAAAATTAACTTCCTTACCATTAAAAAAATTCAAGTAAGACTTCAAGTAAGTTTACAATTTTTGTTTCTTTTTCAGAAATATAAATTCCCTCATGGGTTTTATGTCGTCTTTGTAGCTAAACCTGATGATTACGCCTGTGATAAGGGCTCCGGATCTTTAGACTCTGTTACAAATTCAAATCGACTAAAACGTATTAAACTAATAATTAAGCCAAGTATTACCTACTCTGATTATGTTAAAGCTGTACTCTTTACTTTGGGATCTATAGGTTAGTATTGTGTGCTGTATTTCGAAAAATAAAGCACTTAATCATTTTATTTATATTTCTTTAGGTGCATTTTATATCATATTTGGACTTCCGTATTTTATATACTCGGTGAAAAAAACACTGCCGAGGGAAATGGCGTACGTCGATGGTAACTTCCCAACAACTCCCAGTGCAAGTAAGTCTCAAATAAGTATTTTGGGTTGTATTTAAGTGGGATGTGTCATTGCTTCGTTATATAACTTTGTGTTGGTAATTAAAATTATGTGTATTTGGTAGAAGTAAAGAATATTGATGGAAGAATGTTGCACTAAAAAGTTTAACATTTACAATTGTAATTTACTTTTCATATTATTTTTCTAATAATAATAGTCCTAGTTTTATGTCTCTGTATGCCTAGAAGGGATCTATATTTAACCACCTAAGCATCGGCTTGCCAAGCTTTCTGCCTTTCAAATTTTGCGCAATGTATAGTCCAACCCAAACGTTTTTGTCACTTTCCAACTCCTCTTGTAGTTGCACTCAACTTATTACAGCTGCAGGACATAAAACTCATTATGAAGGAAGAAAAATGTTAAAAAGAAGAGTTCTATATTGTTACGTCGTCTCTTATTATTTTTTTGAACATCTTCTAAGTTCCAGGGCTTTCTGAATTGCTGGATTATTGCCAACTTCACAATATGGTCTTTTTTATTTATTTCCCGTAACTTTGTAAAGATTTTCTTGGTTCCCAAACGCGTACGATGTTTGAAAGGGTAGAAATTTGACTCGATTGAAACCGTTAAAGAAAATTCGCTGGAGGAGCTAAACAGAATTCCACAAAAACATTGCTCGGGGATTTTCCAGCAGTGAAAATGACTTTGGAAGAAGTATCTACCTTGCTAAGAGTATTACATTTAAGGAGATAATGTTTTTAATTAGTCCTGGAACTATTTAACCACCCTCCGTAGATTTTATTGTGCGAAGAATCTCCACGTCAACTACTATTGATGTCCAAGGAAGTGAACAGAGAATCCAAATATATGACAGGATAGTACGCATTGCCACCTGGAACGTACGCAGCTTATTCATGTTTAGGAAACTTGCAAACACTGAAGCCGAGATGAGAAGAATAAAAATGGACATCTTGGGGATGAGTGAAGTAAGATTGCCTGGTTCAGGAAAACAAAAACAAAAGATGGATACATCTATTGGTCAGGAGAAACCGACCCAGAACATCAGTATAGAACAGCTATATTAGTATCGGACAAAATTGCAGTCAGTCATAGACTTCATTTCTCTAAATGATAGAGTAGTAATGCTGAAATTAAGAACAATCCATATAAACCTAAAAGACTATACACTTTTAATCACATGCACACAGAAAAGATAAAATTGTTAGAAATCAAATTGACTTCATTTTGCTCGAGATAACAACTTCAAGAAGTACATAAGATCTACTAAAACATATCCTGGAGCTGACATTCATTGCGATCAGAATGCAGTTACAATGGATTTTAGACTGAAAAAGTTTCTTAAAAAGTGTAGAAAAATAGACATCTCACGACTGAAGAACCCTGAAAAGAAAAATAAAACAAGTATCAAGGTTGAGAAAAAAATAGAAACGCTAGAGAAGTTGGTAAAGACAGACATTTCCAATTTACTATCTAATAAGGGCCTTACTCTAAGTAAGGAACTATTTTAAAAATTACTATAGTATAGTTTCAAAATTGTAGGCACTAATTTCTGAGGAAATGATCATAGGCGTGACGAGTTTTTTTATTCTGGGTTTCAATGCTGAAAATTGCTTCCTACCCTTCCCTCCATATTCTTTTTTTTTATTTCAACAGTGTTATACAACATTTCATGTATGACAACAGTGTTGTCATACATGAAGAACAGTTTAAAATGTTTTGAAATAAATTTTTACAGTAAAATATATTTGTTAGAACAGTAAGTTTTTGAAACAAATTACGTATGTTTTTATATTAAATTATTGCGTGATCACAAGAAATATGTACATGATCACATACTTATTATATAAAAAATGCATTAAAAATTCAGATTGACATTAAAAAATTATTATAACAACACATTACAATACCATTCGTCTCTGGAATGGTACTATTTTTTTTAAATTCGTCAACTATACTATGTTTATCTATACTTCATCTAATTTAGATAACGACTTACGTCATTATCTACGTCAGAGATCGAAGTTGACATAGTTGCCAAAGTATAAAAAAATCCTGACTCCATTTTAAATCAAATAGATTACATAATTATTGCAAAAGTATTACCATCTCTTTACAACGACTATTTAAATTCTTACGTGACATTTTTGAAATAAAACACACTAATTTTGTTCTAAAAAGAACAGATTTTATTAAATAGTTATAAATATAAAACAAGAGATATTCACTTTAAAATTCAAAATAATGAATTACAAAAAGTGTCAACACCGCAACTGTCAAATAAGTGTTACCAATTTATGCCAAATTTTTAGCTTTGTTCGATTACAGTTACAGTGTGTTCCGAACAAATGTTCTTGATAAAATCGCTTTATAATGCATTTATACAAATTAAATGAAACATATTATTGTGTATTTCTTTAAGTTAACATTAATAGAAATTTTTAAATATTATTTCTACGCGTATACAGATTGAACGAAATAAATTCGGAACATAGGAATATAATGTATTTCGGCTCAATTATGCTGTAGGTGGTTGGCCAACAAAATATTGTCAAATAATTATATTATAAAAATCCAATACTTCAGAGGGCTGCTGGATTCTGAACTCATAAAAATTGAAAGCTACACATAAATCTACGATTTATGCTGTCAAACCAGTTATAGTCCAGGAAATGAAGCATTTCACCTCGCAATTTTTTCGTGCTCCCTGGATTGACTTGAAATTTAACAGAAGGTAGGTAATAGCCTAAGGATCAGAATCTATATCGAACCAAAGTGCACCAAAGCGTAGGGGGTGATTGCCACCCCATCTCCGGGGTGAATTTTTTTTTTACGTTTTAACTACAGGTTTCGATTAAAAAAGTGATTCTAAACAAAAAATGTGCTATACATTTTTTTTATAAAATGATATTTCTCAAGTTATTCGCGATTGAAAGTAATAACTTTTAGACGAAAAAATCCACGTTTTTAATCGACTTTTCGCGAATAATTCGAAAATGGTGCATTTTATCAAAAAAATTGTAGAGAACAAATTTGTAGCTTTTAAAAAGACAAATACAATTCATTTTTTAAAATGTTTTTGGGATATAATAGGAACCGAAATACGGCCTATCAATGTTCAGCGGTTTTCTTCTAATGCCAAATTTGAAAGATTCAAAATCAAATATCGGGAAAATGATGCATTTTTGGAAGAAAACTCGCAAAACCTTTTTTGAAGAGCATAAATAGACCTATCATAAAAAAGACTCTAGCTTAAAAATTGAGTAAGTTATGATAAAAATAAGGTCAATACCTCATTTTTTACGAAAAAATCGATGAAAACAACCCCTTAACCACCCCCATAATTAAAATCGATCTTCACCCTTCTGAAATTCCCTTTGTACATGTATTGTTAATACGTCCAAGAAGTTTGACCCATTTAAAATGCTTTGTGTTAGAAAAAGTACAGCTTAAAGCGAGAAACGATTTACAACGTCATATTTTTTACCCTTCTTTTTTTAAATATGCCCGAAAATACTGAATATATGAAAAAAATACAAATTACCAAATTGTAGCTTTTTTAGTGACTAAAATTATCCTTCATTTAGATTTGTTGTACAATGAATATTTGGCGAGATATAGCCGTTTAAAGCATCGATTTACGATCAAGCACCATCTTTTTCGAGCCCTTTAAACTCACCCCATTTAAAAACCAAGGGTTCCAAAAATATTTAATTCACAGATTCTTGTAGCTCTTAAAAAGCTCTACAAATCGTTTTTGAAGAAACACTCTATCGTTAAAAATTAAAGGAAATACGTTAAAAAAAACCAGTGAATTTTTTTCCGGAAAATTCTATTAGTATAGTACAGTACATTTCGGAGCATAATAATCTACAAAACCGGTATATTAGCTAGTGGGGCGTTATACATTCGAAATTTTAAGCGTTCTTATTTTGAAATCCCATACAACAGAATAAAACATCTGCTCATATGTCTATGGCTTGGCAATGAAAATATTAGACCAACAGATTGGGGATGGTATTCCAAAGATGGTTTGTTATTACCCGTACGCATGAACAAACAACCTGCACTCGATGAACTTTTGAAAATTATTTTTTGGCAATGCAAAAAAGGATGCGGTGTTTCATGTGGGTGCAGAAAAGTTGGTTTATACTGTAACTCTACTTGTTCTGGGTGCTTAGGTGAAGGGTGCAATAATAGTCCACCAATAATTGAAGATGAGGATGACATAGATCACGATGAAGATGTAATTGATGACGAATAAAATTAATATTATAATTGTTTTACCTATAAATGTAAATATTTTTAACTATTTATGTAAATGTATAAAAATATATGGTGCCTTTTTATGTTGATAAATTTTTTTGTATTTAATTCTACTTTTTTCAATTTATATCTTATAAATTAGTTTATAAAAACTGCAATGTTGTAAAGGGTGATTTTCAAAAGTTGAGAAGTTGCAAAATTTTGGCAAAAAATTGTTTTCACCTATAGCACTCATAACAATTGATTTTTAAGGGTTGAAAATGTATGAATTTGTATTTTAAAGTATAAAAAAATCACTATTTAACTCATCCAAACCAAATTTCACTCATCTTAAGATTTATAATATTATTTTACAATTTTTGAAAATTAGGGGTAGTTTTCACCCCTAAGAACAATCAGGGTTAATCGGCATGACATAAACTATAAAGCAGAGGGTGAGTTGAGCTTAATTCCAAATTTTTATGCAAATCGTTCCAAGGTGAAATCATTTTCTTCGCATTACTAATTTTTTTATATTAATCTCCAATAAGGGTCGCTTTTTAAGGGTTGAAATATGATGGAACTTTATTCAAAAGCACGAAACTATCATTATTTAATTAATTCAAACCAAATTTTACCCATATTCAGGTTTAATATGTTATTTTATAATTTTTGACAATTACGGGTAGTTTTCACCCCTTAGAACAATCAGGGTTCGTCGACATGACATAAACTATAAAGCAGCGGGTGAATTGAGCTTAAATCCAAATTTTTATCCAAATCGATCCAAGGCGAAATCATTTTTTTAGAATTAGTAATTTTTTTACATTAATCTCTAACAAGGGTTGCTTTTGAAGGGTTGAAATATGATGGAACTCTATTCAAAAGTATAAAATAATCATTATTTAACTAATTCAAACCAAATCTTACCCATATTCAGGTTTAATATGTTATTTTATAATTTTTGACAATTAGGGGTAGTTTTCACCCCTAAAATCCTTCAGCGCACTTCGGTTCGATATAGATTTTGATCCTTGGGCTATCACCTACGTTCTGTTAAAATTTCAACTGGATACATGTAGGACGAAAAAATTGCGAGGTTTTAACTATTTTCGAGCTACATTTCCTGAACTATTATCGTTTCCTTAGACAAACCCGTCTTACGCAAACAACATTGTTGTGAGACAGATAGTTGAACGATATTTTATACAATGTCTATACCCAGGTATGGATTTATTTTTGTCCGAGTTTTATATTGGTCCACTATTTCAAATGCAGTTCAAACACACATGTATTAAATTGTATGTTCCGTTTTAATTTGGTTCAATCTGTATAATAAAATATGTCTAGTGGCTGTAATGCCAGTGAACTCGGTAAAGTGATTCTAAAAAAGAACACACCTACACCCTAAATATTTTGTGTTGGTATCATGTAACGTCACAGGCTATGACGCCGATGACGTGCATCGTTATATAAATTAGATGAAGTGTATATTTACAGCAAGTTCTTGTTCAACAAAAGGCACCATTAGATGTTTCAAATGGTCTTTCATTTCTTTTTTGTGTCGTTTATGCTTTGTTGGTACGAATGTCAATTTGAAACTTATCAAAAGTGTTTTCGAACTACTTTCGAATAAATATTATCAAATTATAAATGGTTCGATCCTTAATCTTTCCAAAGCAAGCGGTAAGTTTGAAACTTCGTCTATAGCTTCAGAGACGTCACATATCTGGTAGTTGACATAATTTGCTGACTTTGACAACCATTTGCAGAATTAGATGCATTATATCCAAACACAATAAAATCTTCAATAATTACTTCAAGCTAATCTTTGACCACAGTTACTGCTTCATCACAAACTCAATGTGTTTCAGATAAAGATTTCAAAGTTTTTAACTTGTGACCTTACAATTTTTTGTACGTCACTGGGAGACCAAAAATAACGCTAAATCGTCGTCACCATTTCTTGGAATTTAGTGCCTATAATTTTGAAACTATTATAGGCGTAATTTGTTTATTGAAAAGTCTTAATATAGTTCATACAAAAGGTGTTTTATCTTGTAAGTTGTTAAAAATGATGTTTCTCGTTGTTTTTTTTTAGCAGTTATAAAAGTGTTCTATTATCTTAAATGATTTTTCGTGTAGGCTCTTTCATCTATAGAACATTTTTTGATATGATCTCAAAATATCACAACAAATAATAATTGAATGATATTATAAATACTTTCTTTCATCAGAGGTGAGTATATTCTTGTGTCGCTTATTTTAATATCTCCCACATTTTACCTCATTATCATATTGCACTTTAATATGCGATATTTATAAAAGTTCCATAGTGATTAGTACGAGACCCTACTATATCTAGAAAGGTAAAAGTTAACTTTATAATTAAAGTTATTTTAGTAGCTGATTGCTTTAGCTATCATTAGCATTCCTAGTTTTACTATCACATTTTTTAATTATTTGATGTAATGCGGAAAGACTTTTGAAAAATATTGCATCTTCTGGACATTTTTAACTATTTTTAATACACTCACGTTACACAAGACTGTTTTAGTAAATTGTATAATTAAATTTTTGTAGTGTAGCATATCACAACCAGTTCAAAGTGGGGAAAATGTGACTAAATGTAGAAGTAGATTATATGTGGATAATATAAGATTTCCACAACATACAAAAATGTAGAATTGTAGCTAATGATGATGATTTCTAATTTAATTGCACAGATTCAACTACTATTAAGCATTCGACTGGTATTAGCTGAACTAAAAAATTCCAGGACTGGCTTTGGAAAAATTAATTTAGGGATTCGTATTAAATATTACACCCTGTATATATATTTTTTAAAATGCAATAAGTGATTTTCAAACTACATAAATAGCCAATGAAAACGACATATGCGACAATGTTGTCGCACTTTTATTAAATTTTTAGTGAACGATCAGATCTTACCAAAAATAGAACAACCATAATGAAGTATCAAATTATAAGGTAATTAATTTAAACAAATGTTATAAATTTCAAACATTTTAATTAAAATGAGTTCTTACAACATAATCTATTACGTAGAAAATTAACATCTTTACTGTCACTTTGTATTATCTCTAGGATAGAATCAATTGTTTTTCAATTTTAAATTTTTACTCATAGATCGTATTGCGGCAATATTTTCGATAAATAATAAATTAAATTGATTAAAAAGTCAAACCTCTTGTATGTGTTAGTTTTTGTTGATTGTAAATGATTAATATTTTATGTCAAATAATAATACATTGCATTAACTGTACTAAATAAAAATAAATTTAAAAAAGTTTAAAATGAAGGTTGGCGTTGACCGTTTGACGTTTCTTGATATTTTATACCCATTGTCATTATTGTCATTATCAATTGTTATTTATGTGTACAAGAATACATATTTCTTCTGTCATATCTACGTTAAGTACATTGTGTTAGTTTTGGTAGAGCTTTTGTTACTTTCGTTCAAAATGCCACATCAGTTTTCGACCACAGAATATGCAGACATAATATTTGTTTATGGATTCTGTAATAGGAATGGTAGGGCTGCTAGTAGAGAATATCGCAGGAGATTTCCTAATCGTCGAACTCCCAGTCATCCAACATTTGGGTCAGTTTTTAATTATTTGCGACAAAATGGCACTTTTCCTAGTGGAACAACAGAGCGACATGTAGATGAAGCGCAGGAAGATGACATTATGGAAGCCGTTACTATGAACCCTACAATAAGTACTAGACAAGTAAGTCGAGAACTCAATGTTACTCAATCAAAAGTAAGTAGAGTCTTACAAAAAAATAATCTATACCCATATCACATTCAAATGGTTCAGCGACTACATGCTGGAGATGAGATCGATAGGTTGGAATTTTGTAGATGGATTAACAATAATCGACCAACGCTATACAGGACACTATTTACAGATGAAGCTCAATTTACCAGAGACAGGATAAATAATTCACGAAATTCACATGTGTGGGCAGAAGAAAATCCCCATGCTATTCGAGAACGTCGTTCTCAGTTAAGGTTTTCGGTTAACGTGTGGATTGGTGTCATAAATAACCAATTAGTAGGTCCTCACTTTTTTGATGGTCCTTTAACAGGGCAGGTCTATTTGAACTTTCTACAAAATATTTTGCCGAATTTGCTTGCCAACGCGAACGTTGCAACGTTCAACAACGAAATATTTGGGGACGATTGAAGCAACTAGTTTACGCAGTGAATATTAATAACCGACAACAATTAATTGATAGAATTATACATTGTTGTAATATTATTAGAAACGATCCCCAGAGTATCCGTAATTCAATACGTCAATTAACAATTCGGCAACAAAAATGTGTACAGGCTGCAGGGTTCCATTTCGAAAATCTATTTTGAATTATTTTTATTTTGTTACCATTATTGTATCTTTTCCAGTTCTAATTTATGGGTTTATCATAACTATATACATATTTTTAGTTTTTTTTTTAATTATTCTTCGTTATTGTTAGTAGTTACTGTTTTTTGTTGTGCAGTGACTCATTTTATCATTTCAATTAAAATGTTTGAAATTTATAACATTTGTTTAAATTAATTACCTTATAATTTGATACTTCATTATGGTTGTTCTATTTTTGGTAAGATTTGATCGTTCACTAAAAATTTAATAAAAGTGCGACAATATTGTCGCATATGTCGTTTTCATTGGCTATTTATGTAGTTTGAAAATCACTTATTGCATTTAAAAAAATATATATACAGGGTGTAATATTTAATACGAATCCCTAAATTAATTTTTCCAAAGCCAGTCCTGGAATTTTTTAGTTTAGCTAATACCAGTCGAATGCTTGATAGTAGTGTACTGTATCATGCAAAAATTAAAAAAATCAAATGAGCCGTATAAACACTACAGTAAAATAAAATAAATGGTCAATTACACAAATCACCCTGTTAATTAATAAAGAAGAGGAGTTGACATTTTTTATGGTAGAAGTATGTAAAGTTCCTCATGACTCACCCTGTATAATGTATACATCAAAGAGTATTGACAAAAGTTTTTTTTTTGTTGAAATTTGATTAATTATCAAAAATATCAATTCTACATTTTCGTATGGTGTTTGGAAAAATAGTTTTAAATTGTTTTCCCAAATTCACTACACAACCACAACAAAAACACTGACTGTTACCAATGAAGTGTTAAAAAGTGTTAATTGTGTTTTTATTATTTCACCAGGAATTGTCAGGTTGAAGATCTCGAAAAAAACAAATGGCACAGGTATATTTCAGTTATCAATAATATTATTTGTTTCTAAATTGCTTGTATATACATTGAAGGGTAGAGCGATGATGGGGGTACTCAGGATGGTCTGGTTTAATGTTATCAATTATTTTTTATTTTTTTTATAACCGATTCATTAGTTTGCTATTTATGTATACGGTTTTCTCCGTTACAGATATACGAGTAAATTAAACTTTCTCCTCAATACACAAGAACTGTATATAACATTTGCTATGATTGTTGATTTCCTAACACTTTTTGCGCTTTGCACATTTACAGCTTGTATGCTTGAGTGAGTTGAATTGCGTCTTAAGACAAATTTGTCGGGTCATTATTAAAATGAAGATGTATGTATTATCATAAATGATATGGGTATGGCTTACAAAAACCCTTGTTTTTGTTGTGTCACACAGCAGTTTATAAACATGGACATATGTTCTAGAAATAGCAAGCAAAGGCACGGATGCTGAATCAGCGTTTTAATACAAGAATCCAGAAATATAACGATAAAGAAGTTCTCGAACTTTGCTTTACAACGTGATTAATTCGGCTTATAGAATTACCCTTACACCAGGACCGCAATTAGAGCGTTGTGACTCATAACAATACTATAAATACCCTTGTAGTTATACACTAGTCCAGAATGCTTCTTCTTCCTTCCTCCGTCTTGTATGTAGGCTTTAAAGCCTGTTTTTTTTTCAACATTAGCCTTCTTAATTGTTTAAATTGTCGCACTACTATCCTATGCTCTGCCATTCTACTAATGTGTTCATTCCACTCCTGTTTAAATTTTGTCTCCAATCCATTTATGTCTTCTGTATTCCATGCTCTTCTTATGTTTTCGCTTCTCTCCCTATCCAACAGACTTTTCCCTGATATTCGTCGAAGTATTTTCATCTCTGTTGTTTCTAGTAGTCGTCTCGTTTTAGATGTCTCCGCCATGTATGTTAATATAGGTCTAATTGCTTTCTTGAACATTGTTGGGGTCTTCTTCATCTCCTTTCTTGAACATTGATATCATTATGCTGTTGCTCCATGCGTATGGTATCTTGCAGTGCAATATTAGTTTTTGTATAACTTTTGTCATCTCTAGGGTTATACTTTCTTCTCCGTGTTTTAGGAGCTCGTTGGTTATTCCGTCTGGTCCTGGTGACTTTCTATTTTTGAGTGAATTCATATCTGTCTCTACTTCCTGAAAACTTATTTCTATTTCGTGTCTTAATTCAGGTACGTTGATTATTATTTTCCTTTCCTTTAAACAGTTCTGTCAGGTATCTTTCCCATTCGTTTGCTGGTTTGTTATTGTATTTCTTTAATTCTGCCATTTCCGTTCGTTTCTTAAGGTTTATTCTGGTGCCCTTTACTAAAATCAGATATGCATTACGAGATTGAATACTCTCTCGTCATTTTGTATCACATTCTAACTCAGTAAATCTGACAGAAAATGGTGAAAACAATGGGAACTTTTCTCGGAAGAAATGGTGAACACTGTAAAAACCATGGTATTCAAACACTAGTTCATAATGTTGCAAAAATCAGCTATGCATTCTGAATTTGAATACTCTCTCGTCATTTTGTCTCACATTTTTACTCAGTAAATCTGGCAGAAAGTGGTGAAAACAGACAGTGTTATGTTCATTCTAAAAGAGACGTGCAAGTGGTGTTTTTTCAACTCGATGAGGAAGCAGCTGATTTGAGTCTCAGAATAAATGAAGAAAAGACTAAATGCATGATAGTAACTACAGATCAAAGGTTTAGAATTGGACAAAACAATTCTTAATGATTACAACTTCGAAGTAGTAAAGGGGTTGGAGTATCTGGGGGCGGTAATTACAGATGACAACAAGGACAAAAATAGATGTCAGCAAGAATAACTGCTGGGAATAGAGCATTGTACTCTCTTCTAACATTAATTAGATCTACGCTGGTTCTATGAATGATATTCTCAATCCAATATTGGTTCTAAAAAAGACGAAATAACAGGAGATTGGAGAAGTCTCCGCAATGCTAAATTGGTGATTATATTGATGGTATTGTAATCATATGAAAGCTAACCGCATTGATGTGGCCAAAGATGGGCAGATTATATGTGGTAAGATCAAAGGAGAACAGAGTATGAGTATTTTTTGAAAGACCAGATAGTAGAAGATCAGTAGGCCTTCACAGGAAAAGATGGAAGGATGATGTAGAAGCAGATTTATCTAGGATTGGAATGCAATGTTGGGAAATGGAAGCACAAGATCGTAGAAGATGGAGGGAAATAGTGAACTTTGTGGATAGTAAAAATTTGTTTTATGAATCGAATTTTTTATGCTTTAACTTAAGCAGTCAATCATCTCAGCACTGATCGAGAAACACAGAAGTGTTTCACAATACCGTCTAGCCAATTCCAGATCATAAATCGCAAACATCTTGGTGCTGTTAGTTCTGCTGGTTTGTTTTAATCTGTCTCCGCAATGCTAAATTGGTGATTATATTGATGGTATTGTAATCATATAAAAGCTAACCGCATTGATGTGGCCAAAGATGAGCAGATTATATGTGGTAAGATCAAAGGAGAACAGAGTATGAGCATTTTTTGAAAGACCAGATAGTAGAAGATCAGTAGGCTTTCACAGGAAAAGATGGAAGGATGATGTAGAAGCAGATTTATCTAGGATTGGAATGCAATGTTGAGAAATGGAAGCACAAGATCGTAGAAGATGGAGATAAATAGTGAACTTTGTGGATAGTGAAAATTTGTTTTATGAATCGAATTTTCTATGCTTTAACTTAAGCAGTCAGTCATCTCAGTACTGATCGAGAAACACAGAAGCGTTTCATAATACCGTCTAGCCAATTCCAGATCATAAATCGCAAACCTCTTGGTGCTGTTACTTCTGATGGTTTGTTTTAATCTGTTTCATTGTGACTTATGCATCTTTTCGTATCTTCTCTTAGTTTTCCCACTTAATAAATAGGTTATTTGTATAAGACTGTATAGTATAAGTCTTATAAGTGACACTTTCTAAATCTTCCTAGGAAATAATTCCTAGTTCTTTTTGAAGTGAATACTTCTTATCGCTTGGTATGATGTTTTTGCACGGACCCTAAATAATATTTAGCGTGACGCGTAATATCGAGACGCGTGCAGTATCCTTGCGATTAATACTGCACGCGTCTTGTGCAATATGCACTTATTATAAAAATAAAATGACGTTTATTTTGGTAAAATGTCAACGTTTTACCAAAATAAAATTAAATAAAATTTAAGAAAAACTTGATAAAATAAAGTAAAATTAAATAAAAATATTTAAAATAAATAAAATTTAATAAAGGTAAATAGAATTAAATAAAATTAAGTAAAATTAAAGAAAATGAAACAAAATTAAATCACATTGAGTTAAAGTAAATGAAATTAAACAAAATTAAATAGAATTAAATAAAATAAAAAATAAATAAATAAAATTAAATGTAACAACAATCAAAATGAGTTATTAAACATAAATACAGAATAATACCGAAAATGATGAATAAATTCTGTTGTATAATATTAATAAGTTTTAAAAATTAGTAAAATCATTAATCAAAAGAGAAAAATTAATTTTTTTTTTATTTTAAAGAACTTAAATGTGTGATTGTATTATAAAAAATATCAACAATTCAGTAAAAAGCAGACATAAAATTTTATTAACCCACATATAGTAATAACGCGCTGTAAGAAGTATTCACTTCTATCGGTACTCCCCAAGTGCCGTTTTTTATTGGTAATCTAAATCAGAACCATCATAAGTACCCCGGCGTGTATGACATATTGGCTTTTATAGTGAAATAACTCCTAAATATAATAAATAAAATATTTAGACTGTAAATAGAGAGTGATATTTAGATTTACAGATGTACAGTATGAAATAGAGATTATGAAGATTAAAATAAAGGAGATCTTTAATCTCCAAAGGGATGGCTTTGCTAATAAATAACCCATTCTCCACATAAATAAAATACAATAAGTGATAGAATGCAGCCTCGTACTCCTATATTCAGAAACGTATAGTCAAGGTATTTGCTACTCTCATTTTAGCTTGTGTAGATGTGTACAAATTGTCAATCAGGTGAACGAAATGGTGAGATATTTCCATCTCTGTCATTATGCTTTAGTTTCTTTCTGTGTTAAATGTTGATATATACCTAATAAAGGCGAACTAAGATTGCCTGGTAAAGTCACATTGTTTTGAGCCTTTCGACTCTCGGAACTCCAAGAGATATCGTTGCTACCTTTGACTAGAAAGCATACGGTCTTAGAGGCGTTCAGACATAATCCCACGAATGGTAGCTTCGCACGATTACCCGCTCGAGTAAGTTCGTCAACCAAATGTCTGAACCTGGTGTTCCTCTCGTACTGAGTAGGATTACTATCGCAGCGACGAGTTATGAGTAGGGTAAGACTAACCTGTCTCACGACGCGCGACGGTCTAATAAAAATACTAAAAATTAGGTAAATAGTTTATTCTCTCTAGTTTCGCCTATATGTCATACATAACGTTTGGCTTCAGATAAACTGGTTCCGGTAATAACATAATTTTTTGTTAGAGAAAAGTACTAACCGACATTTCATTGGTACTAAACTGTTTCATGCACACCACACAATATGACAAATAGATACTGTAGTTGTTCAAGACATAGGTAAGACGTAGGTACACGTTAGAAATATTCGTTGGCTGAGCTTTTTCGAAATTTATTTACTATTTGATGCATATTAAAAGTTAAGTTATCCAACTATATAAATATATGTATAACCTTTGTACTATGTAAATATATATTGGAGGGTGTTTTAAAAGAAACGGGACAGTCGAATATTGCTCGAATTAAAAGATTATACCGGCAATCACTCGGACGCCAGAGCCTCGTTTGTTATCTAGCAGAATGTACCAGATGATCATGATCTAGATCATCTTACGGGCAGGTGAGGTTGACATTTAAATATGAGAGGCTGTGTATTGCGCATCACTATCCCTTACATCCCCTTATCAAATTAATATCTTACAAAATTATTGATAATTTTTCGTTAGAAAAAAAAAACTACAAAAGAACTCGGTCGGCTTTACGTGATTTAAAAATTGAAAAACAAAATGGAAGTGGACAAAAACTTCGCTGTCGTCTGTTTAATAAAACTATTTATGACAAAAATAGCTGGTTGTAATGCTAGCTGATGATCTTGTTGATATATAGGAGAAAATGCAATCCCATGAAAAATCTGAATGAATAATATTCTTAGCTTTTTAATGCTTTAAATAAAAAAACCCATTTAAATTCAGCTTATCGTGATACTCTAATTAAACACAATGAACAGGTGGATCGACAGAAGAATCGATATGTCTTGTTTCAAATCATAAATTGTGTAAGGTTTTATAGAGCTTTTGAGTTAGCTCTAAGAGGTCACGACGAAACTAAAAATTCAGAAAACAGGCATACTTAAGGAGCTGGTCAACATACTCCAAAAAAATCAATTGCTCAAAATTATGATGGCGCATGGTGAATTGAACAGTTTTCAAAAAATTATTAAGGGGACATATCCTCTTACAAATTACGTTCATTGCTATCACACAAAATAAATTTAATTATGACAGGTGCATGTTCTATCAATAAGCAGGCTAGGATATTTTTTATAATTTATCTGGTTTGGGCTCATTCTTTTCTACGTTTTCTAAAAGAACAGAAATTTTGGATGAGGTCGATAATCGCAGGTTGCCAAAATCTTCTCAATCACGTTGGATTTTTCAACCACGGGGTGTTCATTCTCTTCATGTAAATAGAAAAGACCTTATTGCAGTTATGGACATTATACAAAGTACTTTACGTGCTTTGTCATCCATTAATCAAGCCAATGGTTATAAATTAAAGCTCCGGGATAAACATTTTGTATTTTGGTTATTTATTTTTAATACAATAATGCCTCACGTTGAAATTATTTTTCATCAATTGCAAAATGTATGCACTGTATGCTCTGAAGCAGCAATTCAAGATATAAGGGAGCAAGTGAACGTCATTATTCATAACATTCATGAAGAAATAAACACGACAAATGGATAATGATAATGATGAACCAATAAAAAAAGCGTTTATTGAAGAGGACAGGTCCAGCAGAAAACGAGAAGCCTTAGAGATATGCGATGCAGTTTTGTTACAAATAAAAACAAGGTTTACCTTCTCCGGACGTTTAGTTGCTTCTAATTTATTTATGTCGGAGAAGTTGTCTGCTTATCAGCATCAGTTCTCCGAATCATTTCCTCTCGTATTTGAATCGATAATTAAGACGTCATTTCAGCATCCCTGCGTCATCAGACTCTCGGGCTGAATACAAAATCAAAAACGTTAGGCCAACGAATGTCTATTGATTATTTCCCACTCAAGTAATTAGCGTGGAAATCTGAAAACTTGTGTTGTCGAAAGCGGATTTAAAATTTTTCAACCTAATGTAAAAATAAGAATATACTTGGATAAAACTATTAAACAGTAATATGCATCAATTGTTACCTTTATTTTAGATTAAGAGAAATTATATTAGTAGTATATATAGTAAGGCCTACATCTGCAGTAACTTTTTAAATTGTTCTTTGTTTATTATATGTCTGTTAGTTTATTGATTAGCTTGTGCTGCTATATTTCTGTTAATATGTGTGCATATTGTAATTGTGTGATTTGGAATTGTAGTTTTTTCAACTTCTTAGTTTGTTAAGAATCTGTATACTATTCTCTTTTTTTTTTAATATACAAATTAATATAGCTGGTATATGTACAATAAAAACTGAAAAAATCCTTTTAAACGACGATTTAAAATTATTGCCAGAGTTTGAACTTTTTATTTTAAGAAAAGTATAAGTGCGATTTTGCAATATTGTGCGATAATAAATCGATATGGCGCTTACCCCATTAAAATAAAACTGCGATGCTACTTATTACTAAAACCAACTAATTTCGTTGCCTAACAATATGGCAGTTGATCTTCGAATGAGCATAATGATTTAAGTGTCTTACATAGTCTTCTTTTTATCTTTTTCTTCAAGTTCAAGCAATTTTAAACCAATGTTGCTGCTCAAAACAACTGAGCTTGAGTATACTACATTTACCCCGAATCTTTCCTCCCATAATTAACTGCAACAAGTGCTATATACTTATTTAAAAAGAAGTTAGTCATTGTTATACCTCACTCACGCCTAGTCCGTATATTAATGTCTTTTTATACGTCTTTTCTCCTTTAAGTGACAAGATTTCGCCCGTCATCGCGTCATCCAGTCCTTTTTTTATGAAATCTCTTTTTTGATATAATACCAAACCCCCTCCCTTTTGTGTTTGGTAGTAGAAATATCTATGCTATCCCGATTTTTCCTGAATTTTGTACATACATTTTGTAACAAAAGATGGGAAATCATCAGAACTTAATAATTTCTTCTAAGATGTTTTTGGTAGCCGTCTGATGTAAATCAGTCGTACTTATTCATTCTAGAATTCCGAAACCATGTACAGTTGCGGTCACGGAATAGTTTACACCTTACTTTTTATATTGTAATACTGTAAAATTGCAGTGTCGTACGGATTTGATAAATGTCAAAGTCAAAAAATTTCAAAACGTCAATGCTTTCGCGAGTGTTCAACAATAAAATAAAAGTATATTAAACTCTTCCAAAATGGTTAGAATACATTTGAATTATGCGCAAAAAGCAAGAGCAATTGCCAAACTCAAAGAAGGTTGGTCACTAAGGCAAGTTGCTGCTGATTTGAACGTGAGTCATATGTGCATATGGAAGATTAAACAAAGATGGGATAATTTTCACTCTATAGCACGGTTGGGCGGTTCAGGAGGGCAGAAGATTTCCACAGATCAACAGGATGAGATGTTAGTAGATTATTTGAGAGAATCTCCTTTTGCCACAGCTCAAAAGGCAAGAGAAGAGGCAGCGTTTCCAGGCAGTATTCGCACTGCACGTCGAAGAATTAAAGCAAGTGGACTGCTAAATTGTGTAGCTGCACGGAAACCTTTTTTGACTGAGGATCACAAGAGGAGACGAGTTGAATTTTGTAATGAATTTATAAACCGCGATGAGAATTTTTGGTCTAGGGTTGTATTTTCCGATGAAAAAGTATTTCAGTCGTATAATAATGGTCGAATAAGAGTTTATAGGCCGAGAAATCATAGGTATGATGAACAGTATACGCATCATTTAAGAAATAGTGGAGGATTCTCTGTCAACGTATGGGGATGGATAAGTGCCGAAGGCCCGGGCGTTTGTTATCATGTAGAGGAGAAGTTAACAGGATTATATTACAAACATATTATTGAGCACACAATGTTGCCATCGGTGATCCAGAGATTCCCCAACAACGACTTTATCTTCCAACATGACAATTGCCCGGTGCATACGAGTAGAATTGTTCGAGAATGGCTAGAAGAAACTGATGTTAATGTTCTTCCGTGGCCTTCCCGTAGTGCAGACTTTAACCCCGTCGAAAATGTGTGGGCAGAGTTAACAAAGAAACTAAATGAAAGAAACCTTAGACCACGGAATAGAATTGAATTATGGGAAGCAATTGAGCAGGCATGGGAAGAGCTTGTTAACTATAACATGAGGGGATTGGTGCTATCTATGAACAGAAGACTGCAAAATTGTATTGACAAGAATGGGGCTTCCACCAAATATTAATTATTATTTATCATTGTTTATCGTTATTTAATATAAAATAGATTTAAAATAAAATGCATATTAAAAAAAAAGACTTCTTTATTTTCCTTATTAAGATCATAATCCATTTTATTCAAAAAACTGTTTTCTATATTTTTCATTTTGTAAAATATTTTGATATTTTAATTTTAATCTACCTATTCTAGCTAGTACACCACTGGCAACGTCACTTTGACGTAAAAGGTGCGTTTAAAACGAAGTAAAAATTTAAAAAATGGGCTCCTAGATACGTGAACCTGTAAACTATTCCGTGACCGCAACTGTACCTGCTTGTATAGGTATATGAAAAAGACCCATTATATGTAGTCGTCCCTTGACTTTCGCGGAACATAACAGTCTGACATTGCAAGATACACCCAGACTTCCTATGAATTTCTAAAAAAAATCGACTGGGATTTCGATCCCAAATCCATAAGAATAACAGTTGCATGTTTTACCATCGCTTCTATCGACTGGGTTACGGAACTTTTTTGTTTCCATTTAAAACGGAGGACATCCTCTCCATAAGCGTTAATCTAGTATGAGCGTATAAATTCGTTGATATAACACAGATTGTATCTTAGGGTTTATATAACGTCTGTAGTTTCTCTTTTATATCCAGAAATGACTCCAGTGCAGCGCACCACTTCGGCCATAAGTGGTCCGTCAGTGGACGTTGCCGACTTCGACACCTTAGCCGAGGTGGACACCGATAGGGACCTGAGGTTGGGTAGAGGAGAGCCGTATTTGGTGGATTTGGCGAGGAAGCATCCCAAGGAGTTGACGAGGAAATCGTATTTGTATCTGTATAATGTTGTCACCGTGGCCATTTTCTATGCTTTACCAGTAATACAGCTAGTCATCACTTATCAAAGGGTATGTTATTAGATTATGATTTTTATAAATAAATTGATTTTTTTGTAATTATTGTTCTAAAGCTGTACCAACCGTAATTCAACCTTAAAAAATAAATATGCCGTAGTGTACAAGAATGCTTTACCTTTATGCAAAAGACGTCGCGTCAGCCGATTATTCCTATTATCTCGTTTGGTTTTTTTGGAAATAAACTACTTCTCGTAATTTAATTCTATCTTCCTCATTCATACTAACATTATGCACGACATTATAAGTTTTAAAGTATACGAACTAGAAATGGTATTCTCAACATTTTTGTTGCCACGCAAAACCGTGGCATTAATGAAAACAAATCACTTACCGAAGCTGAATCATATTCATTGTACAGTCTACTATCTTATTTTGGCTACCTTAAAGCGGCTTCCCACGATCGGCTATTCTAAAGATAATCGCGCACAGCCGATGAGCACGGACGGCAATGTACCGCAGACAGAGCTCTTCCTACGGTCCGTGACAATCTGTGTAGGTCTCTACTGTTGTTTTTTGTCTTCTGTATGTCGACATTAAATGTCTTCTTTTTAAGTCTTTAATCGAAATAGTACTATTCTTCAATTGATTTTTTATTCAGTTCCATGCATCATATATATATATATATATATATATATATATATATATATATATTATATATATATATATATATATATATATATGATGCATGTTTTTATGCTCTGGCGCCGTAGAATTCCATAAACTTGGTTCATTTTGATACAAATTTAAAAAATAACTTCGTTTGTCCATTCCATTTTTTAGCAAAAAACTTACAAAAAAACTGCAAAACAACTTTGACAACACTGCAGACAACTACTCGTGTCAGCGAATGAACAAACTTTTGACTTTCACTTCGCATCGCGTCGCGCGTGCATGTACCGCACCTTTGATGTTACCGACTGTCGATGGATACGACGCACCAGCACCGACGTGCCTGTGCTATCACGGACGAAACATTTCGTGATCGTGGGAAGCCGCTTTTAGGTTACACACATGAAAATAAAAACAAAAGCAGTGTAATTACATATCACGCGACCACACACTACGTGTAGTAATAAACGCAGTCCCATGCGTGTTTCTTAATTAAATAAAACTAAAATACAGTGGAACTTGGATATTACGCCTCGGTTGTAACGTCAATTTTAATAGGTCCGGCCATAAACTATTCGATAACATTATTAAAAACCCGGTTTTATCGGCTAAAAATAAAGTAAGTCTCGTCTATAGCGTCGTAAAATTGTACAGTAGGTTGTCGTTTTTTATTTTATGAAGAATAAAGTGCAATGCGTTTCCCGCTTTGCGGCATTGTTCCTTCCAAGAATGTAAAAAAGCCCGATTATCCATTCTGTGTACAGTTATCTGTCTTTGACAGTTCTATGATTTCTCATTTATCACTGCCATTAAGTTCCAATGTAATATAAAATTAAAATAAATTTGAATAGAATAGAATCGAAACGTATTGAATCGAAACATATCGAATTGAATCGGAATTAAATTGAATTAAATTAAAATTCGAGTGCCATATCCAGTTTTTAATAATTAAAACTTCTTCTAAAAGTTCTTTTATGCTTTAATATGCTTTGAAATTTTAGGTTTTGAACGAAACGGGACAACAAGACTTGTGTTACTACAACTTTTTGTGTGCCCATCCGTTAGGTGTATTGGGAGACTTCAACCACGTGTTTTCGAATATAGGATACGTGCTATTGGGAGTGCTATTCCTAATAATTACCTACCTACGAGAGCTTTCGCACAAAGACGATGATTTCGATCGGGTAAGTGTATTATAATTATATTTAGATGTAAGAAGTCGACTTGAAAATTATTATGTCACTTGTCATCCATAAATTTAACATGACGTTGTTCAAAACTTCATAAGAATATTATGGAAACGTAGAAGAGTTAAAGTGGATTTTCACAGGTCCGATATCCGACGGTACGATGATACGATATAAATTTCAGCGAATTTCATTGATTGAAAAATGACAGGTGGGATTTTCGTACGAAACTAAAAGTCATCGGAAGAAGTTAAAAATATTTTAACTTTTGCACGAAAATCGGATGAATTTTGACATTGTTGACATTTTAACTTGAACTTTAACCTTATTTTTGTGGAGTGTTTATGTATACTATTTGAAATATATTTAAAATGGAACAAAGACCTAATTATTATATAAAAATTCAATGAATAAAGTGTTGCTTTTGTGTCTTCTACACTATGTGAGGCAAAAACGACGAAAAAGTAGCTCAATATAATATATATTATATCAAACAAAACAGCTAACATTTATTGATAGTTCATTGTAATAAATATCAATCCATCCAATAATCTCACACATATATGTCAAAAAATTTCGGATACGACAATCAAATATATTCGTACAAAAAAAAGTTCGTATTTCGTGTCATCGGATACCGGATCTGTGAAAATCCAGCTTTAGACGTAGAGGTAATGGATTTTGGGAACAGCTATGACCTTGGACATTTCACATAAACTTGTGTACTAAATAGGCATAATGCATAGTTCTTGTCAAAATCCAATACATTAATAATATAATTACATATCTTCGATTCTAAAATATTGTAAAATACTTTAAAGAGTATGAGTAAGAAAAGAGATATTTTAGTTATATTCTTTATGGCATTTTCAAAGTCATAGCTGTTCCCAAAATCCATTAACTTAAATTATTTTCGTCGTCGAAATACTGTAGTTATGCTGTTCAAAAGCCCAAAAAGACTTCTTCTTCTTATGGTACCTATCCGTTACGGATGTTGGACACTAACATGGCTATTCTGACATTTTACATTTCTTGACAAAATTAACTAACGGGGTTTTTTCCATGTGCCCTTCAAATGATATTCAAAATGTTCTTAAGGCGATAAAAATTCTTATAAAGTGACCTTATAGTGGACAAGCTATTTATTTCGATTTATGTCGCTACATGAAATTAAACTATTAATTTACGTTTTATTTGTAGCAATTTGGCATTCCTCAACATTACGGATTGTTTTACGCCATGGGTGTGGCCTTGATCATGGAGGGTGTTTTGAGCGCAAGTTACCACGTCTGTCCCAACTTCTTGAACTTCCAATTTGGTAATATACCTTTTATAATAGATTCACATTTTTAGAGAATTGCTATTATTAAACTGAGAATTCTGAAAGTTGATAGACGGGTACTCAATGGATAAATAAATCCACGTGTGTCTAAAATCTACTCACTTAAGGTTGATCTACACTTCCCAAAAGACAAACTACACATTCAAAAAATTTGAAAAAATTTGGGAAGGTATATGTGATAACTAGAATTATTTTGACAAATTTCGAGCAAACTTCATGTATTCGTTTTCGAGAAACCGCCAAAAAACTACTTTTTTCCAAGTATAAAGCGGGAAAACCAAACATACAATTTTGTTAATTTTCTTACAGCATAAAGATATAATCCTAAGAAATACTTACGAATTTTTTGAAAATTTTTGAATGTACAGTTTTGTCACAATGGGAAAAAATAATATGTTCAGGCTTATAATAAAGCTACTGGTAAGAAACATATATAAAACATATGTAAAAGCGGAAAATATTTTCGTTTAACATTTTTTTATAAACATATGAAAAATCTCGTTAAACAAGAATTATATCTTGAACTGCCGTTATCAATTTGTATTGTAGAGAGGTGGCTCCATCTGAAGCAATGGTAATATTTATCATCGATAGATAGCATAATCTAAACGCTTCAAAAGAAACGTCATACTAACAGAAGTTTCAGAAGTGCTCAGATATTGTTCGGATTATTCCGTCATTAAGTGGTATAATTATTAACTATTAAAAAATAATTAGATGATCCAACTCCACTGATTTTAGTGTTGATATAATATGGTGTTGCATTGAAGCTGGAAAGTTTTAGTCTACCTGATAAAAATACTCCACTTTTATTGGTGTGGTTGAAAGTAAAGTAATTAATCCATTCCTGTGTTTTATATCTAGATTCAAGCTTTATGTACGTCATGGCAGTGCTTTGTATGGTAAAACTATACCAAAACCGACATCCAGATATAAACGCCAACGCTTACACTACATTCGGGGTACTAGCAGTCGCTGTAGTCTTGGGTAAGTAAAAAATCAACGCTTCATTTCATTATTTCGGTACTACAAACACTTGAATCAATTAGAATTAAAGATAAAAGCAGTCTAAAATGAACCATGGAGAATATATTCTCATAGTGTCATAAAACAAAGTACCAAGGTACTTATACTTCCCATACTGTCATATCAAGAACAAAGTACCAAGGATGATTGTATCAATAGTTTTGACTGATCTATCCAGCTTGTTGCTCAGCGCATATCAATTTTGTTTTAATAGATATGTTAGATAGTTAAAGTACTTCATTATAATTGTTCGCCACACTTCATTTAGATATCTCCTAGCTACTTTTTGCTCAGTAAATAAACAAAAGTGTTTTTTTGTCAGAATTCCCCTTAAGATGGTTAGCGACGTATGACCTGGACATCTGTTCTTTAATAAGTTCGTCTCAGCTTCATCAAATGTTCTCGCTTAGCTTCAAATTACCTACTCGTCAAAACCTGACTTCAACAAGACTTTCCAGATTTGAAATCACATTTTTTTCAGAATAATATTATCCATAGTATAGTAAATTTGCCTCAGAACAACCCTTTCGAACAAGTTGTAGAGTTAGCAAAGTAGCTACACTGTACTGAAGTTTCTTAATTATGTTGGTGATTTTCCCCGGCTTCAGCTCACTTGTCCATGCTCTTTACGAGCAATTGATTGGTAAGACGCCCGAAACGTTTTATCTTTCCTGTCCTGGTATCATCTGGATAAGCGACGTTGTTTTTTTTTTCATGAATTGCCGGATTGCTGCTTGCAGTTCTTCAAGAATTGAACAAGGTTAGGACGTTTTCCTTCTTGTAAAAAACTCTTGTTATTTCAGTCTTATCATTTAGTAGTAGCTGATTAACTGCGATCAACCTCTACATCCGCCTGCTGTTTTGTTTAATTTGGAGATTGTTCAATAGTTTTTAAGCCAAACATCTCATAAAATCTTTGCCAGTCTGGATGGTATCATCAGAAAATGGGTATACCTCGTGGTTAGCCTAGTAGTCCTTGAACAGTTTCGTAGTTAAGCCAGTTAGACCTGAAACGAACTAAGTACACCGGCGTCGTCCCCATGTTAACAAATTCTTCGTAGCTTGCAGCTTGTTAGCCTCTTTGTCCAGGTGTCTGTAGTAAAGAAAATTAGCCATTTGAAAATTAAACCTGCGTTGGAACAGAATTGGAGACAGGAGGTACAATGCCTTTTCAGCAATGATGCCAAAATTGTTGCTGATCCTCGATAGGGCTAAAGCACTCAAAGAAGGAGTGTATAAATGTATATTATATTTTATCATATATTATTTTTCTTTTTATCCACTTAATAAAATCATATTTTTTAGCTATGATTGGACTACTCGAAGGGAATGTTTATTTTTGGACATTATTCGTGATTCTTTACATCCTGATGTGCTTCTACTTAAGCGTTAAAATATACTACATGGGATGCTGGAGTGTGCGTAAGTACTTGGATGAATTCAAAATTTGTTCTGTCTACTTTATAAACGTACATACAATAAACGTCAATTATTGTGTAGTTTCGTCCTGCAAGTTTTAATTTAGCAGATCCATTTTAGCGACAATGAAATACTGTTGGGCCTTAGTAAGTCTGAATAGCAGATAATACTAACTAAATGCTGAGGTTCAGAAAATCCGGTAACTCAAAGCGAAAATACTTCATATGACGCACCTCACTATAAAAGGCGTTTGCTGTATGTTGTGTGTGATGAACTTTACCTGATTTGATATCATTTTATAGGTGATATATCGATGCAGAAGTTCCGGCAAGTCTGGATCTACGATTTTTGGTCTGGACCAGTAAATGTCATAAAACCGTGCCATAAAGGTTAGTATTGTACAAAATTTGCAGGAATATTGATATAGTAGTCTTAAACAACTTATTAAGTAACATAAAACGTCGTCTAAGGTGTCCCCAGTATATACGAGAAATATTCATGAGGTATTAACATTCACGAACATTAAAAGCTACCGAAGACAAAGACATATTTTTTCTTATTATATAAAAACGTTCTCTCATTGCGATTATCTGGTAAGATCCCCAAATTTTAAATAAAATTAAAATCACAAGACCATTAAAAAAAATCGAGAACACCCTGTATATATAAATAGTTTAGTTGTAAAATCATAAACCATTTACCGGGAACAACGTGAGTGGTTTCCGAATATGTAAATAAGTGATCTAGAAAGTTTTCTCCGATAAAAAGACAATACGGTTTGGACATGACCAGGTAGATTTAGTACACAAATATTTGAAATTTGCGGTTATAATAGATTAGAAAGTAATAAGTAAGGATTATTGGTTAATGAGTTTTCTCCTTTACAAAAGTTAAAAAAAGAATTCAAGGTCGTTTTCAGGAAAGTACTTTAACGTCAGGTAAATTTTGGAAAAACCAAAAATTTAAAGGACTAAGAAACCGATGATGCGTTTGATGAGAGGGGAGGTTTGTTTGGATTGGTTTGAGATGGATAAAGAAGAAGGGGGTGAAAAGCTTGCCGGGAATGAAATGAGGGAAAAGAAAGACATTGTGAGTTGAACATCGAGAGAGACCGGGTCCGGTGAAAACATTTTTTTTTTTTGAGAGTTTATAAGAAGTAGTGCTTAGTGTTTGTGTTGAAACTTAAGCAACCATTGTGGTAAGCAGAGACGAGTTCCTGTAGAAATAGAGGCATTAATGTAAGTAGAAACAGATATATTTTCCTTGTGTCTGAGAGGAAGCAGTTTGTTTGTCTTGGAGTTTGGAGCTTGTGGTAAAGACATCACGAAGGGAAGAAAGTCTGTTTGAAAACCAAAGTTTTGAGTTTTTAAATAAATTCTATAAAGACATTCTATCACGACCATCTATCAACATTCATGTCAATTGTTTGTAATTTGCAATATTTTTATAGTTAAGGCAAGAAGTCTTTCTAAAAATTTTATATTAAGAGATATTTGATTTAGAAATATGTGTATTTAATTTTTATTGAGCATTAAGGGATGTGTGATTTGATTCTTGATTATTTTTTTATTCTATTTATAGTGTATGGTATAAGATTGATCCTCAACGGAATTTTAAATTAATTGGATATATTTTAAAATAAATGACAATTGTTTTAATATCAGAATTGATTGTCTATTATTTATTTTTCCTTTTGTTGATCTTTCTTAAATGGAACTAGCAGAAGATACTTTGAAGCCACGTTTTAATTAAAAATAAAAAGATAAAAATTATTTTTAGCCCTGAGATATTCTTTGCTTTTGATTTGTTTGATAAAGATAAATTTATCACATTTCAGACTATATAAGTAGATTTACAATTATAAGCAAGTCACAACAATATATAATATATACCATACCTCAATTTGTCCACCCCCTCATTTTCTTTCTTTCTATTCATCATACCCTTTTCTCTTTCACCATCTTATCCCATGGCAGATTCATATTTCTCGTCCTCCTGCCAGTTCTTTTATGACTCACTTCTTCACATATTCTTTCCTCATGTCTCTTGACCTTACTTTTCTTTGTAATGTTCTTCACCATTATTCTTCATCATTAATATTTAAACTTAAACTTCATCACTAACTCAGATAAGGTTATCTATCCTCACAGTTAACTCAACATATAGTCTCTATTATTTCATTCTTTCTCTAATACATATTGACACACATATCATTTTGTCTGGTTTTCTATTTACATATTTAATTATCTAACTTTTTCCATGCATTTCTCTTTTCTATATTAATATTCTCATTCATTATTTCTCAGCTTCATTTGTATTCATTTTAACATACTTCTCAATAAGGTAATACTATATTAACACTATCAAAAACTACAATATAATAATAGTTACAATATTATATTCTGTTATCATATTATCTCATAAAACTTTTTAATAGGCTTATTCATTTTACTAATTAAAATTTTTAAACTCTCAGAGATTTACACACCAGGTCTCTTACCGTTGTTAGGCAACCACCATTACCCAATCAAAAAAAAATCAATTTCATTGGATTTCAACTTAATCTTTTAGCATATACTAATTTTTTATACCATTTCTCACACTATTATGTGGATAGTACCACATCACTTCATTTCTTTTTCTACCTTAATCAATTTTCATACTACTTATGATGTCATAGATTCAACCTCAAACATTAATTCCACTACTTAAATAACTCACTTGTTTTTCAATAATAGAGATTTGCAGATTTTAGGCAATAAGTTTTATTATTTAAATAAATTTAATTTTACCTAAAGATTTTCATTAATAAGATATTAGGTATCATTACAACAAAATAAATTTTATAATTTTTAAAAAAATTACATTAGTCTCTGAACATACCCATACCTAGTCATGTTTAGCTATCTTCTTTGTGTTAAAACCGAGCAAGGAGGTATGTAGCTCATCAATTATTAATGTTCATCCAATGTCATCGACATAGAGTCACAATATAATTTAAATTTGGAATGATGTAAAACCATATATGGATGTCACAGCTACAAATTGAGTACAACTATATAAGAACGCACTGAGGATGATCTGATTAGATCGAAAACGTTATGCTACTGTATAAATTTTGACGACACTTTTTTTAACTATATGTTTTTAATGCCTAAATACAATTGTGAAGTGTTTTAACTTCTGTATGTTTTAATATATATATTTTTTAATTTTTCAGCTAGATTCGTTCTTCTCTTCTTGGGCAACTTGTGCAATTGGGGTTTGGCTATCTTCGCCATCTATAAACTTCCTAAGAACTTTCCAGTCTTCCTTTTGACTATATTCATGGCCAATACTCTTCTCTATTTCGTCTTCTATATCGTCATGAAGGTAAATATATTATTAGGTTCATATTAAGGAAAAACGATTAGCATATTTTATTTATTTATTTATATTTTTATACTTCTTGTACATACCTATTATTCCTTTTTTGTCTTACAATCCTCCAAATTATGTACTCCTCCCAATATTAATATTTCCCCTGCAGTCCTCCTATCTCTATTATTATCCAATTTCTCTAAATTCCCATACACTCCTATTATTATGTATATACTCCATCTTCTGCTCTCCGTTTATTATCCTTACATTCCCCTTATTTTGTATCTTTTGCACACTCAAGATATTTATCTTACACTCCTCCATCTTTTGTAATCTCTATTACAGACCTCGTATATATGTTTACTATTTTTCCGACCTCCTCTAACATCCCTCTTATACTCCTAAAATGATTTCTGTACTCCTTCTCCACCTTCTGTGCTCCTGTTATTATTCCTGTACTCCTCCTACATGCATCTCTTTTCTCTGTTTCCCTTACACTCATGATATTATTTATCTTACACTCCCCTATCTTTTGTAATCCTATTATTGTTACTACAGTCCTCCTATGTTTATTATTATTTCCCTATCCCATCTTACATCACTATTATTTCTATTAACTATTTCTTAATCTTCTGTACCGCCTTCGTGCCCACTATTTTTGTAATATATAATAATAATAGGAGCACATGCTGCACTCCTATTATTATTACTCCTATTTCTTTTTTCTACTTCCTCTCAGACACCCATTACAATATTTAAACTCTTCCACTTTTTTCCACTGCACCTCCTTGTTTTCCACTCCCTTATAACTTTCTTTGTAACGTTGATTATTATTTTAATCAAACCTGTTTTTTTTTTTAGTACATTAATAAAGAAAGTGTGAGAGTTTTGACGTGGATCTTCCTGATTCTGTCAATGTTGTGTGCAGTATCTGCCATGTGGTTCTTCTTGCACAAAGCAATATCTTGGAAGGTAAGGATACTAAAAAATATAAACGTTACAAAAATATTCTATAATAATGGCTCAGTAAACAAACATTTTTTCTTCCAGAGAACGGCAGCGCAATCGAGGCAATTCAACGTAGAATGCAAGCTTTTCCATTTCTACGACTCCCATGACATTTGGCATTTTCTAAGTGCCACCGGGATGTTTTTCACGTTCATGGTATTGCTGACGCTCGACGACGACTTGTCGCATACGCACCACTCTCAAATTCCAGTATTTTAGATCATCTACGGATGGACAAACTAGTCAGAAAGTATTTTTATTGATATAGATGAGTATATGAACATATAAAAGTCGCCTTAAAGATTACATCGAAGTCGTGGAGGAAGTTGAACTTTCTACTACTATTTCTTAGTCTTCTTCCGGTATTGTATCGTGTCAGACATTGGAAGCTTCCATAATACCAAACTACAACACTCTGCAGCTACAGCTATAATAAGTTTCATTGTCAATTGTGCTATTTTTGATCTTTACTGGTTGTATTGACCAGACCTTGGTGTCATAGTCTTGTTATAATGTCCATTCTAGAAAAAAGTGTGGTGCAAACTTACTAAAACCTTCAATATTAACATAGCGCTATCATTTTGTACAAAAAATTTTTTATACTGTTTATTAAGTAGTTATGCCGTTGAATTATTACAAAAGAATAACCGATTTTTGTACAGTTATTGAGTAATATTCGAATTAAATTCAAGTAATAATCAAAAAATCCAAAAGTAGGGGATTCTCCCAAATCTGGTTTAGATAAGTGTATTTACAGAATTCTATTAAATATCTTCAGATTAATTAACCTATGATCTTATTAAGACCGAATTGAAGCCGGCCAGAGAGCGCCATTTTTCGACTTAAAAAAATAAGGGGGCAATAATTTGAAAATTAGAATTTACTGAATATAACAAAATTTTGAAAGATCTCACTTTATTTATGATTTTTATTATGAAATAATAAAGTGTTTTTTGACTTTAGGCTGAAGGCCTATTTAGCCAGACAATTGGTTGGATAAGTTAAAATAATACTTTTATACCTATTTTCAATTTATATCAGACAATTTTATATTTCGTTCATTCACTCAATTTCCTAACCTTCATTGAAAACACTATTGGTGACTGTACAAAATGGATTGAACAATAACACACGTTTCACGGTGCCCTTCATAGCGATTTTTTTTTTAAACAAACAATACAGGTAGAAAAATAAAATTTAATACAATATAAGGTTTAATGTTCGAATAAATGAACTTGATGGTACACAAGGCAAATATCGAACACAGTAGTTAATCAAATCTTGCCCAAGTACTTTCGATCACAAGATCATCCTCAGGGGCATTTCGTCAGTTGTGGCCTATCCAGCAGTAATAGAATGTTATAAATGTAAATTGGGACATAACAAATACACTAAACAAAGACAAACAAACACTTTAAAATTTAAGATATGGAGAAGCTACATTTTATATAGAAGCCGGAGACAGAATGACAAAATGACAGAATGACAAAATTCTGTCTCGGGCTTCTATATAAAATGTAGCTTCTCCATTTCTTAAATTTTAAAGTGTTTGTTTGTCTTTGTTTAGTGTATTTGTTATGTCCCAATTTACATTTATAACATTCTATTACTGCTGGATAGGCCACAACTGACGAAATGCCCCTGAGGATGATCTTGTGATCGAAAGTACTTGGGTAAGATTTGATTAACTACTGTGTTCAATATTTGCCTTGTGTACCATCAAAGTAAAATTTAATAGTTGCTTTCTCAGCTTACGTTGCGTATACGTTACATATACATTGTTTACTTCTGACAGACCTGTCAAATTCAGAGGAAATATTACTTTTACTTTCTAAATTAGAAAAAAAATGAATTTTAAATATTAAACAAAAAAAAACTATTATATTTATGATCATAATCTTCTATTCATTGTTAAGAAGGTTTTGGGCTGTACAAAAATTTTTTTGACACAGTTGTTTTTCACCACTGCAGAGGGCGTTCCGAAAGATTTTGGGAAAAGGCGTGTAAAGTAATTTTACTGTAATTTTATATAATAAAGTAACCATATTTATTTAATCGGCGATTCCTAGTGCATATTGGATGCCCTCACTGTCGATTAAATGCTGTAAATGGTCACTCAAAGCTTTTTTTCATAACTCTGTCCTCTTTTGATGTCTCGCTGCTTCTTCGATTGGCTTGAGCAACACGAGCTTCATATTATGCTTATTTCAATGTGTCCTTACTTAGATTGTCTTTTTAAGCCCACGAGATCCATGCAGCTTTTCCAATTTTTAAAATACTGATTTTGAATAAATTTCATTAATATAAAACACCTGCTTGCTTTTTATAAGTTTTAGAAAGCAATTGTCGAATTGCTGGTGCACAGATGAAGCGGGGCGCTAGGTGTTGTATACAAATTAGTTTTAGCTCATGTGCGTAGCGTTATAAATACAGCTATAACTTGGTATCTCAACATACACCTGAGGATTATCTTAACTCCAAATACGGTATTTTTGTTTGCTGATATAGCCATTCAATTAAAAGTGACCTTCATCGCTAAACAAAATTCGCTTTTGAAAATCAATCTCGTTTTTGGCCCATTCACAGAATCTACGCTTTTTTAGGTGATGGTGTAGCTTCAATTTTTGCTGAGTTGGATTTTGTTAGCACTCAAACAAAGATCTTTCCGCAAAATCTTCCATAAAATAAATGGACACATACCCAACTTCTGTACGCACTGTACGACGTCTCTGTGGATGCATATTATCATTTAGAGTCAACGTGGTGCGAAAACGTATCATGGTTAATCGAATTAATTGCTCTGATGGACGATTATGTTGATCATAAAGAGGACGTAGTGATGATTTTCAAAATATATTTGCACAATTTGGAAGCGTTATTCATGCTGAAATACCAAACCAAACTAAACATAAATCACTTGACAGCTGTCAAAATGGCCGCCAGTTAAAAAAGTTTTGCCAACTTACATTTCTATACCTCTAAAAAAGCACTTTTTATATGTCTAGGAATAAAAGTATTGGTGGAATAACATTTGATTTTCTATTACAAATCTTCCCAATAAATAATTTACTAGCGCACAATTTTCTTCCAGCCTTTTACAATTACATTATTAACTATTTATATAACATAATGATTGTACTACACTATTAACTATATATAATATAATAAGTGCGTTATAATGCAGTTAAAAATGTTACAATAAAAAATGTGCGCTATTTTTCTATCTGTGTGTATTTTAAAGAAGAAAAGTAGCAAGTTCATTGACATAAGCTAATTCTAGATTATTTTACACTCTATATGAAACATTATGTGGTTAAAATTCTTATTTTTTTAAAGTGTTTATTTAATCTTAATTGTTTCAAATTGATATAGGTTTAGAGTTAAGTATAATTTCTGTATTAATATATTAAGAGGGCCGTTTGGGACACCTATTACTCCTATTCCAATATCACAAATCATGCCTTTAAAACTCTAACTCGCTTTAGACTCTGTGCTTAATTGATGCTGACTGAAAACTGGCTGTGAGCTGTGAGCGTGATTTTGACGACCGTGGGTGAGACTTGTAACGTCAGAGTGGGAGTAGTGGGGGTATCTCAAGCGTCCCACCTTCTGCTCGTTTCTGTCTTTCTTTTACTACGAAGAACTAATCGAATCTTATACCAAAAGGATTTTTTCTGACTCAGTATACGTAAATAATTGTATGAAGTTGTTTTACTTCCTTAATTTAATTTCTCTTTCCACCTCGGAAATCGTTATCATAATTTCCGAGCTTGAAAACGTCAAATTTAACGTAGTGTCAATTAAAATTGTGTTTAATTTTCATTCATTATAGTGAACAGTGTGTAAATCCCAACAGAAAGTAATTTGCTGATAAATATTTTTTTAATCTACCGTAACTAACGGCGATAGAAGCCACTGACTGTATCAAAATTTGATTGTCAATTAAAATGTTCGTAAAAAGTATAGTTTCAAAATTTTAAGCATTAACTTGGTGCCAAATCGCAGTGGTTGAGATCGGGTCACCTAGGGGGAATCGACTAGTTGACGGCATCTATTGCTACTTCTTTTTATTAAATTTATATTCGGACATGTCCTGATCGGCGTATGTTGTACCGAGAGAAAAACAAGCGACTGCAACGACTTAAAAAATGCTTCGATTGCAAATGTATGATTGTGACCAATAAACCCTCACGTTAAACTCGTCGATAGATACCTCCCTCCACTCCCCCTCATTTTTATGAAATTTGGAACGAAAAGTTTTCCGCTAGATACAATGTATTATAAAACTACATGGCGGCTTTTGATCCTCACTGTCCAAATGCCTCTATACATTCATTCTCTTCCTATGTCATCTTCATATAATTTTGAAAGTTTTTGTTTCAATAGGCTTTGGTCTTTGGACAGATATTATGTGTGATATGAGCCCCGTTCCAGATCACTTAAGACTAAATAATTAGCAAATCTAACGATGAAAATAATATTTTGCTGTTTGGCTGATCAGTGGAATTAATAAGAGCTCACGTACTATCAATCTGAGGTTCCTAAAACAGTTACGAATTTCGCAAAGCTTTAACGTATATTTTTTTAATGCGATTTGCCTTATGCAGTGCCTTAATTCATAACTTTACCGCAATTTGTAATGTCTGACAGCACGCTAGTCATAATATGTACATTCAAAACAAGAATTATTTCTTAAACAGTACTTTTAATCATTTTACAAGTACGTACTAGAGTTTTAATTGCAAATCAGGTAGATCTCTATTTTCTGACGTACCTACATGTGTGAGCCTAAATTACATTAATACATTAAAAGCTTGAATACTGTTTAAAATATATTCAGTCTTTTTCGCTAAAAATACATGAATCACTAAAGAATCTAGAGCAGATTGTTTCGTCTCGAGATTTTAGATGGCTCAAGTGGCTTAAAAATGTCTTAAACTATGCAGCTAAATAAACTTAATTACATACTTCTACATACCTTTAAAAATCTTGCACTAATACATCAACTCAAACAAAATATATTTCAAAAATTCCTTCTTTGCCGGCAAAACATCGTCATTGTTTTAGAAATGATACTAAATTAATAAAAACACTTGCACGAGTGGATAATCTTGACGTGAATTCTTAGAGTCCTAAGCTAAGCGTTCCAAGAGACTTAGAAAATGGATCAAAATGCGCTAATGTATTAATTTTTACGGAAGAAAAAATACCGGAAGACC